TATAGACTTATGTCATAATGATAGGAGAAAGAAAAATAAATACATGCGATCCTCATTGAATCTTCAAGAAGAATAATACAAATAAATGTTGGATGATGTAGTGAATATCTATAAATTTCTATTTTCTTTCTTGTCTATCCAATTAAACATGGACAATTTAGTATAAAAAAGTTATCTTTCTTATTTGCCAATAACTTATTTTTCACTAGTTAAGTATTTCTGAATATTAGCTTTTAATTGAAGAGTTAGGGAAGGCTTAGGAAAATGGGACATGAATTTTTTATATATAATCATCTTTTGTCCAGCATTGAATGGAATTCTAGATTCATGGTTGTGAATGGATTGTCCTATTTTACTTCAACGTTAATCCAAAAATGCAAAATGCATATATCAAGAAAGATCAAAAAGTCAAAGATACGATTATGGGAGTGACACCTATACCTCAAAATAGATTAATTCATTAGATGTGTAGATACCATTAGTAATATCACAAAAATCCAATAGTGCAAATTCCATGTGTGAATCACATGTTATATTGATCTGACAACAAGAACAAAATAATTCTTAAAGAACTAGAGTGTGTGGATATTGAACCATGGTTAAAGCAGCTTGCAGCCTCAGTGTGGGGAAATGTAGCTATTACATTGGTAAATACATCAATTTTACTGAAGAATGTCTTAGTTACACGTGATCATAACATTTCATAGCCTAAAAACGAGGATGAAGTAGTTGAGGCCAAGAAAATGAGATGGACCAAACCATGCGCATGCAACTTTGGGTTTTGTGACATGTACAAATAATGGCTTATTTGTGGATAAGTTAGTTAATCAAGCATGACCACAAAAAGGGTCTAAATTATGATTCTATTGACATAAGGTCGAAATATAAGGTTGGGCACTTAGGAAAAGGTTCCTTAAGAAATTGATATTTGTAAATAAGTCTACCATTTATCATAACTGTAGTCACAACTATGACTTACTAAAGTCCTTTGAATTTTGAGATTTGTACAAGGTGATAGAATTAAGCAGATGAACTATATTCAAGGGCTGTATAAGGAAACACCACACTTGCATTTCCAGCTCTCAGGCTCATAATTTGTGTACTGAATGCCCAAATTAATGTTCCTTCTGTTGGTTCTAGGCACTTGAATGGCTTCACATGGAGTACAACCATAACACTTGTGCTCACAGCTTGGTGGACTTGACCCTATTCTGTTTACTCCTCTATCATATATTTCTTTCTCTATCTCTGGCATTTCTTCTGTCACCATTGAGCCCTTTAACAAAGAGGCAAATTTAAAATAGGCAAGGTAGGTCAATGTGTTAAATATGATATTACCTACCACCAACTTCCAAATTTATAGAAAGGGAGATAACACACCTTTTGTAAATCTGTAGTGTAAAGTTGTGAAGAATGTGGTGCTGCTGGTGCTTCTTCTAGGCCTATATATGGCAGAAGATAGAGTAAGATAGTTAAGAGTCTAATAATTTTAAAGACAATAAAGGATAGAAGAAAGGAGCACTCAATTTTTAAGTTATACAGTTTTATAGGATAGAAGAAGTATGAAAATATTTACAAATAATTGATTACTGTTGAACTTGATTACTTAAGGTTAAACTATGCACACCCCTTTTTAGTGAGGGAAATAGACTGACACAGAAAAGCTGAAGCTGAAGTATATATAATGAGTACTTAATTGCAATGAAAAGTAAGGATTTAACAGGTAATAATGGAAATAAGTCAATGACCAAAATTGTTAACTAACTAACCTTGATGGGACATGCTATCATGTGGAGGAGGAAAAGGCCTACTTGCTTCAGAAACCAAACTCACTATTTGCAGTGCTACCAGGAAACAACAGAAGAATCTTCCCTTCATTCTTTTCAAAAGCTCAAATGATGAATGATTGTGAGAAAGAAATATTGATTTTGAATCACTCACACAACTAGAGGCAAAGCATGATTGCTGCAATTATATATAAGAAGGAACAAAAAGGCTACTAGCAAAGGAGCTTATAGCAATTCCCAAAAAAAAAAACAAGCCAGAAACTCAACTTTATTTGTATAATATAAGAAATTTAGCTTCAGAAGCAAGTGAATCTGTATGGTTTCTTGTGACACAGTTAACAAGTTTCACCTTAATTTAACAAATGATAACTCGGAAACTCCTAAGACTAGTCTGTTATACACTCTTTTTCTGTCCCTACCCTTGGATTGCTTACCTTTCGATACAAGAAAAAGCTAAAGCCAAAACTTTTTCACTCTCTCAAACAAATCTAAAAGAGTAGTGCAATAATGGTACTCTATAAGATCAAGAATAAAAGCACCCTTTTTAGGCCTGAATCATCTGCAACAACCCCTTATAATTTATCTGACATATTTCAGATAAAAAATAATAATTTTGACACCCTAGACTGCAGAGCCTTTGTCTTTTATGGATGCTTTTTTTGCTTCCACATCCATATACGGAAGAAAGAAATCAATGGCACAGTGCTTGTTTATATGAATGAGTGCTTTTGGATTTATGGTAAAAAATAGATTTTTTTAATAATAATCAAAATTTGTTTGAATTGGTTATAATAGAATCAGCTACATATTTGGATAAGCTTATTGAACAAACAGTGTTGAAATAATCTATTTCATTTGTATTATGTAAAAGAATGTGATTAAATGAAATAACTGTGGTACTAGTGTCAACTTTTTAAGGGTTGGTTGTTAGGGAACAGACTAGTCCCCTCACTAATATCCCTACTTGGAACACTCACTTACTACCCCTACTTCATATGTTCCCTCATTCAATGAATATCAGATTCTAGTTACATAAATTTATTATAGTTTCAAGGAGCAGCACCATTATTATTAATTCTTTTCTTTTTCCTACATTTCATTTAATGAGGAACCATTGATGACATAGTTGATAACAAAGCATGGCCACTTGAGGTTAGTTTTCTGTTAAGCTTTATTAATGTTCCACCCCGGATAACCAAGCACCCACGTTGGCCGGTCTGATCTCCAAGGATCACCATAGACACTCAAGTCTATCGCAAGTTCGACTAACGAGCATCCTCCTAGACTATGGACAACTTTTCAAATGCTGATTAAAAGACTTAAGTTCTGTTTAGGTGCAGTTGTTTTTCTAGTCTCCTAGCACTTGTATTTCTCTCTGAAACTTGGTAGGTCCTATGTACTCATTTTCCCTCAAAGGGTAAGGAGAAGAAAGAATAAACCAAAGAATGCAAGATAAGATAGTGCAATGATTGGATTGGAGGTGTAAAAATAGTTCATGTTAGAATCATGTTGAGTTTTCATTTGATGAATAAACTCTCAATAAAATGAAATATTATGAATCCAATGCAAAAGAAGCTAATGTCACATACTTAGATAATATTTTATACAACTTTTACTGTTTTACACTTTTACTATAACTAAACGATGACAGCAAGGGGAAAGCATGGTAACTTTGTTTGTCCCAACCAATAACAGATAACATGAACAAACCTAAGAATTTCTGTGATCTATTCCTTAACTAGTGTCTAGTGACATCAAATGCCACTGCTCCACCAATTATATGTACATTGCGTATAAAATAAGTTTATTATTACTAGTATTTCACCATGCATGGGTCACGTAATGATGTCACTTAGCTTATAGCCATTTCTAATAAAGAAGAGCCATTTTATTGGGTTCATACAGATCATAATCACAAGCATTTTTTGGGTGACTGCATATGAAATGCATAACTGTGTGACTGATTAACCCTTAGGTTGGAAGTAACTATTATTAAAATCTAAAGAAAAATGACACTTTTGAATTCAAATTTGTCATCTTACAAGTAAAATTTGGTCATAATCACAATGACCCATCACTGTTGGGTAACCACTCATAGTTTATGATTAAATAAATATAAACAAATAATTGAGACTTGAGAGTGTTCTTCAAAAAAATCTGTGCTATTGTAAATCTAACTACCTGGGACTGGGAGCAACCTTAGTGACAGTCTCACAGATAGTATTTCATTTGGTAAATAATAGAAACAGTTACCATTCACCTCTTTGCTCTCTGCTGTAGTGTTGTTATAGTACTTCTCACCATTCATCAACATATATAGTTGCATACACAACCCATTAGAACCCAAATACACTATCTTGTAGTTTTTTTTATATTTGTTAGTCATCATTGATCAAATTAGTCATCTTAGGAAATTGTTTTTGAGCTATAATTCTACAGTTTTCGGTAGAAAAAGAAGATTCCGTATTGATATAATAAAACAATTGAATAAACAAAAAAGATATACAAAAGTTATTTGAACAAAAGTTTTGATTATATAATTTTTTTTGTATAACTAATGATATTAATCTTACATATAAATAATTAATCTTTTTCGAAGGTTTGCGATTATTCTATCCTCCTAACAAGTGTCAGTCATACGAATCAAATTTTTGACTAGTAGTATAATTTTTAAGGATCTAGTGATGCTCCTTATACTAACTATTAGACCAACATCTTTAAATAATTATATTATATGAGGTAAATATAATATAATAAGGTAAGCCTTAATTTTGGAAAATTGAACAATCTAAAACAAATATGTAACAAATCTTACCTTATGAAAGGTTGTATATGTACTATGTACCTTATCTCGCAATGACAAAATAAACTTCCATTGAAGAACTAGTTTTGAGAAAATTCAAATGGATTAGCCAACTGGGCCAAGGTTTGTGTTAACTTTTTTAGGCCTAAAAATGTATAGTAGCCCAAAATGATATGAACTATTGTATCTGTCGATGAAACACTTTTTTTGCTTCTTTAATTGATTCTTTAATATAGTGTGGCCTTACTTCACAAAATTATATTGTTTAAATATACTTCCTAATACACGTGAGACTTTGGGCTTTATTCCAATGGGCTTTATACAAGGTTACCGTTATGAATGATTGATACTTCTATATATCCCTTCAAACTTCATAACTACACAACATCATAAATTCATAACAAAACAACGAAACACAATCTCTCTCTGTTTCATCTATTTGTAGTTGCTGTTTCCATTTACTAGCACATCAGAACTCTGAAAAAGTTGAATCTTTTCTCAAATGGCTGCTTCAGGAAGATGGTTTAAATCACTCCTCTCTCATAGAGAAATGTCAAGAACTGATCAAGTAACTAAATTTTACTTTACTTACTATTTATCTGTTTCCTTTCTGTTATTTACTATAATCACTGCTTCATTTTGTTCTTTGTTCTTTGTTTTTTGTTCAGGATGGTGATATTAGTAAAGAGTAACAATAATAAGAAAAAGTGGAAACTTTGGAAGACCTCTTAAGAAGGGTCTTCTTCTATGAGTGTGAAGAAGGATGGTGTTGGTGTATCTCACAAGTCTTGTGAATCTTCTTTGTATAATTCTGCTGTGGTCAGAGCACAACCAAAGGGTTTCTTGATCATCAAGAAAGAATGGGCTGCAATTCGTTTTCAATATGTGTTTCGATCCTTCTTGGTAATAACTAACTCTAACTCTTCTCTAATGCACAACAATGCATGATTTTGTGACAAAAAAATGTTTCTTTAACAAAGTTTTTAGACAACAGATAATTTATGTGAGAATGTTATACCAATTACAGAAATCGTTTGTCATATGCGCTTCTGCTTTCTTTAGATATTGAATGATTTACTAAATTTGCATCTCAATTGTCAATTACCTTAACCTTAAGTAATCAATTCTTAAATAGGCCTTACATTCTATTATCTGCTAAAATACATGATCTTGAGTTTGAAATTCTAAGTTCAATTCAGGATCTGGACCTCTTAATCTCATCAGCAGATCAAATTTCCTATTAAAGTTAGATTCTTTATTTTCTTGTAGAAGATTTTTAAGTAGATCGGAGTTCAAAAGGTGGTGCTTTTACAGTTGTGGTTTGTAATCAGCTCACCTTAGTCAAAATCTTCAACTAGATAGTCCCCCTAAAGAGAACTACGGCTTGTAAGCTTTTTTCTTCTTTTCCTATTTATTTTGGGGAAGGGGTGAACCACATGAGATTGATTTGGATGAGTATTTAGATACTTTACTATAGGAAATTAGGAATATAATTTAGAATTGAGTTTGTTGTGCAATTTTAGAGTTTTCCAAATTGCATTCTGAACAAAGGTGTTCCATACTGATCAAATGGTTACTCATTGACCGGACTCGATTACATAAGGCCGACCAAACTTGGATACTTGACAAAGACCTATGTCATCAAGACCCACCAAGTTTGCCGACCAACCAGGCTAATAAGGGAAGGTGTATTGTCAACTGAGTATGACCTCGAGACAGTATGCGGCCCACGCCTCTACCACCCATTTGTCGCACTGCCGATACCTACTACACGCCACCTACACCTCTAACCTAATTTCCTCCTCTACCGATAATACAACCCTAGGTTGCGGCTACTACAACCTACTACAGGCTATACGTCAACTATGCTCAGAGTACGACCTGACCAAACCACCCGACACGCCTAAAGTAACCCCTGCTCTACCAGAGACAAACTGACAAGTCCAGATTGTCGGCCAAGTCAACAACACCAATCATAAACTACTCCATTCACATCCACTATAAATAGGGGTCCTCCCCTCACAAGAACAAGCTCCAATTATCTATTTTACTTATCAACCAACAAAACTTCACTCAACAAACGCAAATCAGACCTCACGGGGACGATTATTCTTCCCTTTGGTGGCGGCTAACTCAAGTCTCCCAAAAGTGCGGGCCACATTCCCCAAGGTTAGTGGTCAATGTCATCTCCCAGAGGAGTCAATAACATCCCTCGTTGGCGGTGATCAACACACATCCCCCAAGGCGCATATCATGTCCCCTTTGGCTGATGATTCTAGTTCCACCCGGCGCCAATCACATTCTACTCTGGCACTGAAAATATATTCCACTACCCAGGGCCCGAATAACGACATTGTTTGGCTCATTCCCAATTACCCCCAAGTCGAGGACCAATCCTTCCGCTCAATGTTAATGACTCGAGCGTGCTCCTGGGACTTACCCCTGCTAGGTGCCCGACCATGTTTGGTCAGCAAGTCGGCCCGGGAAAGATGGGAAGCGCCCCGCCACACTAATTGAAGCAAACTAAGCATAAAGGAAAAACGAAAAAGAGATGACGTGCACATATCGAAGAAAAATCATTTTATAACAGAAGATAAGCTTCGAACCTATTGATCTACAACTAGGCAAAGCCGTTATATGTCATACAAGTTTACATCAGAGCTGACCATCAAACCATGTGATCTACCACCAAACATGACCGAGAGAAGCTTTACAAGTTCAATTTATGGCCAAGAAGGACCTCAAAAAGCTAAGAAAGACTTCCTCGGACGCATGGTTCATTTTCAGCACCACTAATCGTTATCAATACCTGATGTGAAATTGTAACGCCCCTAAATACTAACCCAAAAATAATATTCCTAACGAAAAATAAAAAGAGACTTGATCATAACAGACACAACAATGTGTTTCCCGATCAAGTATACATAATGTTATACCGTAACCAAAATAACCAGTGAAAAGTACATCACTATAAGCCACCTGAAATATACATAGGGTTTTAAATATACAAAATGAAATCGGGGGTAACAAAACTACATAAGTGTATCATCTACAAGTTTCCATGAACACCTCAAAAAGAAAAGACCAAGAGTTTCCTAGTAACTAGCCACCCGACTAGAAGGGGCACTAGATCCCTCGTTCGGATCCTCCTCGATATCATCCTCGTTAGCCACGACGACTTCTCCCACGCCCGCCCCGATTGGAGCAACTACCTCGTCGTCAGAATCTGAGGTCAAGCCCAACACCTCAACCATATCCTCTTTCACAACCAACTCTACACAGTCATCAGCATGAGTATCATCCTCCAGTATGACCATCGCCTCCATTCCAACTCCATTGCTCCTCTCCCTCATCACCTCCCATGAGGCAGGTATCGCTCAATAATCATCCCAGATCGGCTTCGAAAAACTCATCTCTTTGCTACCAACTCTATACCCTTGAGATTGTCCCGCCACATCACTAGCCCTAACCATCTCATTAGTATCTTCTGAATAAGCATATCGTCTCCTCTTTCCCAGAGTCTGAGGAAACTTTCCTCACTCAATCCCTCATGATATATAGAAGACATATCCTGCTCCGTCAGCTGGTAACTCGGTAAACTCGAAGACGAGGGTGATATGGGCAGCATTGGGCCTCCTTCCAGGGAAAGACACCGACACCTTTCTGACTGCATAGAGTGAAGGGACATGGATAGTCGTGTCGTCACAAAAGGTCTTCATGATCAAATGGCATGACCCTGTATACGTATATCGGTCAGCGTCTTCCGTCCACGTCTAATGAACTCGGAGGGGACATGGAGTGGACGAAAGACGGTGACTGGTATATGTATACAAGACCATGTCATCTAACCATGGAGACCTCTTGTGACGGCACGACCATTCATGTCCCTTCACTGTATGCAGTCACATAGGTGTCACTGACTTTCCCTGGCAGGAGGCGACACTGTTCATATCACTCGCGTCTTCGAGTTTACTGAGTTACCAGCGGGCTGAGCAGGATATTTCGAAGGTTCGCTACTACTAGCGGACCCGTTGCCACTGGTCCTATGTATCATGAGGGATTGAGTGAGGGACGTTTCCCCCAGACTCTGGAAAAGAGGAGACGATATGCTTATTCAGGAGATACTGATGAGATGGTTAAGGCTAGTGATGTGGTGGGACCGTCTCGGAGGCGGAGAGCTGGTATCAAGGAGATGAGTTTTTTTGGAGCCGATCTGGAACGACTATTGGGTGATACATACCTGCCTCGTGGGAGGTGACGAGGGAGAGGAGCGAATGAGCTGGGATGGAGGCGAGGGCCATAGTGGAGGGTGATACTGATGTTGATGACTGTGTAGAGTTGGTTGTGATAAAGGATACAATTGAGGTGTTGGGCCTGACCTCAGATTCTGATGACGAGGTAGTTGCTCCAGTCGGGTCGCCGTGGGTAACGAGGATGAAACCGAGGAGGATCTGAGCGAGTGTTCTAGTGCCTCTTCTAGTCGGGTGGCTAATTGCTAGGAGACTCTTGGTCTTCTCTTTTTGAGGTGTCCCCGATTTCATTTTGTATATTTGAAGATCCTATGTGTATTTCGGGTGGCTTATAGTGATCTATTTTTCAGTGGTTATTTTGGCTATATTATAACATTATGTATATTTGATCGGGCAACACCTTGTTGTGTGTATTGCATATCAAGTCTCTGTTTATATTTCCTTATGATATGGGGAGCTTTTCAGAGAATATGTGTATCTATTATATTTCTCTATTCATGAAGCCTTTATATATATTATAATTCCGCATAAACGAGTTGAGAAAATGTTGTGTTCTGGTTTTAGTTATGATTTTTGAGACAGAGTGGTCTTATTTACGCATAATGTTTTAGGGGAAAAAATTTACCTGTATTTTTCCAAAAAATTATTATCATTAAGAATATTATTTTTGGATTAGTATTTCGGGGAGTTACAATCTCACATCAGGTATTGATGTAGATGAGTGGTGCTGGAAATGAACCTTGCGTTCGAGGAAGTCTTGTCAGGCATGTGTGCTGTGTGGGAGTCTTCTTAGCTTTTTGAGGTCCTGCTTGGCCGCAAATTGGACTTGTAAAGCTTCTCTCGGTCGTGCTCGATCGTGGATTACAAGGTTTGGTTGCCTCTGATGTAAGCTTGTATGACTTGTAACGGCTTTACCCGATTGTAGATTATTAGGTTCGAAGCTTCTCTTTTGTTATAAAATTATCTTTCTTTTATATGTGATTGTCATCTTTTTTTCATTTAGTGTGGCGTTGCCCATTTTTCCCGGACCGACTTGCTGAGCAAACATGGTCGGACACCTAGTGGGGAGGGAGTAAGTCCCAGGAGCAAGCTCAAGTCATGAACATTGAAAGGCTTGGTCCTCGACTTGAGGGTAATTGGGAATGAGCCAAACAGGGTCGTTATTCGAGCCTTGGGTAGTGGAACATCTTTTCAATGCCAGAGTAGAATGTGATTAACGTCGAGGGTGAAACTAAAATCGTCGGCCAAGGGGGACATGGTATGGCCTTGGGGGATGCGTGTTGATAACCCTCAATGAGGGATGTTATTGCCAGCAAGGGATGTTTACTCTAAGGTGCATAAAGGCTCTTGTTCAAGTAATGTGAGAAATTGTCCAAAAGGGAAAACAATGCAGAAATTATTGGATGAACATGGCAACCAGGATGATCCAAGCATGCTAATGTATCATATGAACCATATATTATAAGTTCTTCTATGATTTGCTTTTAATATTATGTTACATTGTTTAATGATGATTTCCTAGTCAAGGCACATATAAGGAGATGCTACTAACATATCACAATTTTTGT